TGTTATGGGGCGGGGTAAATAACACCTCCTTAGACACTTTCTCCTCACCAGGTATGATTTTATAGCTTTCTATCATAGACACCCCCTTCCCCAACCCTGCCCTATTCAGCTCTTTTCTCAGCAATCCCAGCCTTTTGAACTGCTTCTCATCTGGAAGTTTTCTTGCCCTTCTCTGTACCTTTTCCTATTTGAATATCTCTTGTTTGAGACCAGGCAAGCAGACCTGCACGCAGTATTCAAGGTGTGGGTGAACCATGGATTTATATAGTGGCATTAGGATATTTACTGTCTTAGGATTTATCGTTTCCATTTAACTAGCCTCTTTGTCTTGGTGTAGTCCCTCCTTTGGAAGTTAAATGCTACCAGGGTGGGCGTCTTTGGCATTTCCCCCTGCACAAGGGTGTTACATTGAATTATTGTCACTGTTACCAAGCGGTTCGGCTCCTCTCACCTCCTGGGCGAGACCCCGGGCTCGCTTAGGACAAAAATCGAGAAGTGCCTCTTCCCTTGTGGGTTCCAGAACTAGCTGCTCCAAGAGGCAGCCATTAGCCCTGCCTAGAAATTTTATCCCAGCCAGAGGTGAAGTTCCCAGTCAGTCCAAGTTGAAATCCCTCCTTATTACTTATTCTTTCCTATCCTCTTTGGAGACTATTGCAGCAATCCTCAAACTTCGTGACCTCCCTTCTGACAACAAAAACTACTAAACGACCCCAGGAGGGAAGATCGAAGACTGAGCCCCACTGCCTTGGGCAAGGGGGCCAAAGCTGAAGGCCAAGGGCTTCTGCTCTGGGCGGGGGGCATGTAACCTTAGCCCTGGCCAGTGGGGCTTCAGACTTGCTGGGGCCCAGAGCCAACACCAGCCTTAGTGACCCCATTAAAATGGGTCACAAACCCACTTTGGAGTCACGACCCACAGTTTGAGAACCCCTGGACTACTGCATTCCCTCTTTAATAAATTCATCCTTCAGGGCTGTCTCTGCTGGAATGGTGTGCTCCTCTGCTCCTTTTGGCCTTCCCCCAGCCTTTAGTTTAAAAATAAATAAATCAATCCTCTACCTTTTCAATTTTTGATGCCAGCAGTCTGGTTCCATGCTGGTTTGGGTGGAGCCCATCCCCCTTGTATGAGCTCTTCCTTTCTCCAAAGGTTCCCCAGTTCCTAATAAATCTAATCTCTCCTGCCTACACCATTCACGCATTAAGACTTACCGTTCTGCCTGGCTTCCTCGCTCTGCCCGTGGAACTGGAAGCATTACAGAGGAATGGTCATCAGTAAGGTTCAGAGTTAACATGGTGAGCAGAGAAATGAGGGCCTGAGTCTGGAGGGAGCCCAGACGTCCTCACCCCACCCCCCTCCACTGCATCTGTCTAAAACAGCAGCACAAGCCAAAGGTATGGACCGTGTCCCGCTCAGCATCAGCCGGAGGGCTCTTCTTTCCAGTCAGCAGCGGAGCACCTCCTGCTGCATCACTGGCTATGGCACCTCGCTGGGCTCCCAGGCTGGAACTAGCGTTGGCCAGGCCCTGACTCTTGCTCCTGACAAACAGCATGAAGGAGCCACAACTGGTGCTGGGTGCAGGAGAGCGGCAGCCACCCCGCAACAAGGCAGCGCCTGCCCTGAGCAAAGCCAGAGCGGCCCACACGGCAGAGGAACTCACCGCAGCGGGCGTTCACAACCCAGGATGGAGGGTCCACGTTACCCAACATGGGGAGGTAAAAACCAGAGCAGTGGACCGACTGGCAGAGGTGCCCCCTACCCATTGCTGGCACAGGCCCAGGCAGCTGCCCCGCCTTGGGGAAATCCAGTCACTTCTCCAGCTGCTGCTACAGCTGTAAGGGGCAACTGGACAATGCCCCACCCAGGGTCATTGTTCCTTGCTAGGGTCTCTACTGGGCGGTTACACTGCAGGATGCAGCAATTACAGGGGGGTGTGTGTCTTGGAGCAGCCTGATTTGGACGGGACCCTGGTTTAAGGCGTGTTCTAGTAGCCTGGGGAAGGAGGAGAAGCCCAAGAGGCAGCCAGCTTGGCTCCAAGGCCAGGGCAACGTGCCCCCAGTACAGCTGGCACTGAGAATGCCAGCTGGGGGGCAGAGGCAAAGCCAGGACCAGGCAGGGCAGCGAATCAGCCGCCACACTCAGCAGGATCCTCAACAGGGCAGGGAAAAAAACATTTTTTTTAAACAATTAAAAAAAATGGATTTTTGTAACGTAAATCCACTTTATTTTGTACTTTTTTTCCTTTTTAAAATTATACTTGAATTTAATACAAAATATGTGAAGGCCTAAACGACTTATCATCCCTTCAAACACTGAAATCAAAAATAAATATGCTGAATCCGTGAACCTCTTGCAAAAACTTGGAGTCAAAGGCAGCTTGTCTACATAAAGAAAGGATGTAACTGGGGCGGGGGGGGGGGGACTGGCTTTATAAATGTGGCACAACAGGTCATGGATGCACAGGAGTAAGGGCTTGTTTTGTTGAATGAAAATCCATCTGCTGTGCAGTTTGATGTGCTTAATGAAATTCCAGTTACCATCCTAATGCAGCTTGACACACAAAGTGAAATATATCATTCACCATTTTCTAACACACTAAAAACGTGGTTAATAATCGGACAATATTAAGCTACATACCTGCTAACTCACATGTATATAGTGTCCCGATGTGTAGAAAGAATAGCAAATATTGGAGGCGGCCAGCTTGGCTTAACAGTGAAATCCTCGCTGATCTTAAACACAAAAAAGAAGCTTACAAGAAGTGGAAGATTGGACAAATGACCAGGGATGAGTATAAAAATATTGCTCAGGCATGCAGGAGTGAAATCAGGAAGGCCAAATCACACCTGGAGTTGCAGCTAGCAAGAGATGTTAAGAGTAACAGAAAAGTTTTCTTCAGGTATGTTAGCAACAAGAAGGTCATCAAGGAAAGTGTGGGCCCCTTAATGAATGAGGGAGGCAACCTAGTGACAGAGGATGTGGAAAAAGCTAATGTACTCAATGTTTTTTTTGCCTCTGTCTTCACGAACAAGGTCAGCTCTCAGACTACTGCACTGGGGAGCACAGCATGGGGAGGAGGTGACCAGCCCTCTGTGGAGAAAGAAGTGGTTCGGGACTATTTAGAAAAGCTGGATGAGCACAAGTCCATGGGGCCAGATGCATTGCATCCGAGGGTGCTAACGGAGTTGGCGGATGTGATTGCAGAGCCATTGGCCATTATCTTTGAAAACTCATGGCGATCGGGGAAAGTCCCGGACGACTGGAAAAAGGCTAATGTTGTGCCCATCTTTAAAAAAGGGAAAGAGGAGGTTCCTGGGAACTACAGGCCAGTCAGCCTCACCTCAGTCCCTGGAAAAATCATGGAGCAGGTCCTCAAGGAATCAATTCTGAAGCACTTAGAGGAGAGGAAAGTGATCAGGAACAGTCAGCATGGATTCACCAAGGCCAAGTCATGCCTGACTCATCTAATTGCCTTCTATGACGAGATAACTGGCTCTGTGGATGAAGGGAAAGCAGTGGATGTGGTGTTCCTTGACTTTAGCAAAGCTTTTGACACGGTATTCCCACAGTATTCTTGCTAGCAAATTAAAGAAGTATGGGCTGGATGAACGCACTACAAGGTGGGTAGAAAGTTGGCTAGATTGTCGGGCTCAACGGGTAGTGATCAATGGCTCCATGTCTAGTTGGCAGCCGGTGTCAAGTGGAGTGCCCCAAGGGTCCGTCCTGGGGCCGGTTTTGTTCAATATCTTCATTAATGATCTGGAAGATGTTGTGGATTGCACCCTCAGCAAATTTGCAGATGACACTAAACTGGGAGGAGAGGAAGATACACTGGAGGATAGGGATAGGATACAGAGGGACCTAGACAAATTGGAGGATTGGGTCAAAAGAAATCTGATGAGGTTCAACAAGGACAAGTGCAGAGTCCTGCACTTAGGACGGAAGAATCCCATGCACCGCTACAGACTAGGGACCGAATGGCTCGGCAGCAGTTCTGCAGAAAAGGACCTAGGAGTTACAGTGGACGAGAAGCTGGATATGAGTCAACAGTGTGCCCTTGTTGCCAAGAAAGCCAATGGCATTTTGGGATGTATAAGTAGGGGCATTGCCAGCAGATCGAGGGACGTGATCATTCCCCTCTATTCGACAGTGGTGAGGCCTCATCTGGAGTACTGTGTCCAGTTTTGGGCCCCACACTACAAGGATGTGGAAAAATTGGAGAGAGTCCAGCAGAGGGCAACAAAAATGATTAGGGGACTGGAACACATGACTTACGAGGAGAGGCTGAGGGAACCGGGATTGTTTAGTCTACAGAAGAGAAGAATGAGGGGGGATTTGATAGCTGCTTTCAACTACCTGAAAGAGGGTTCCAACGAGGATGGATCTACACTATTCTCAGTGGTAGCGGATGACAGGACAAGGAGTAATGGTCTCAAGTTGCAGTGGGGGAGGTTTAGGTTGGATATTAGGAAAAACTTTTTCACTAGGAGGGTGGTGAAACACTGGAATGCGTTACCTAGGGAGGTGGTAGAATCTCCTTCCTTAGAGGTTTTTAAGGTCAGGCTTGACAAAGCCCTGGCTGGGATGATTTAATTGGGGATCGGTCCTGCTTTGAGCAGGGGGTTGGATTAGATGACCTCCCGAGGTCCCTTCCTGATATTCTATGATTCTATGATTCCCCACCCAGCTCACCAAAAGATGGACCAAATTTAGCGTCAAGGCTCCATTCAGCTGTAACTCAACCCGCTTTAAGGGTTATACAAACCACAGCGAATGCACCTTTCTTTAACAAGTAACCAAATCACACAAGGAGAAGCTGATTCAAATTGATGGTTTACACTAAGGCTTGGTGATTTAAATCAGGATTTAAACCGCTGATTTAAATCGATCCGCCCTGATCCTCAACCCGCCATCCCACAGCCCAGCTGCCTGCCACGGGTCCCTGCTGCCCACGGGGCCAGCCACAGGGCAGCACCAACCAGGACAAAAGATGCCAGGAGCCGGATACAGATAAATATGGAAACTCCATCTTTATTGAGTGTGTATAAAGATCTCAGTATGTACAGACGTGTAAGTCGGAGGGTGGAGAGCGCAGACTGGGGGTGGGGATTGGGGGGATCTCAACCTGGCTGGGTCAAAACACTTGATTCCCCGTAGGTGCAAAGTCCGGGTTTCTCAGCCAGCAGCAGCCTCAGCACTGGTGAGATCCCCATCTCGGGCGGGGGGAGGGAGGATGGGCTCCATGCAGATGGGACCCGGGCAGGGTCCCAGCCCAGGGCATCACGCCCTCCCAGCTGAAGCCTAGCAGGGGAGAGTCCCACAACTGGAGCCCTCCCCAGGCTCACTGATTTCCCACTAGCAGCTAAGGGCTGTGTCCAGACCTGGGCTGGGGGGATACACAAAAGGGGGAGGGGGCTGATTTTTACATTCACAAGATCTGGTAACAATTAAGCAAAGAAAGAGCAGCATAAGCCCCAGTGGCACCTGGTCCACAGCCAGCCCCCCAGCCATCACAGACATGACCCCGTAGGCCCAGGGAGCTTTTGGCATCACAGGGCTGGGGCAGCCCAGGCAGGGGTGGGAGGGTGAGAGACCCTTCCAGCGACTCAGCTCTCATTGGCTAGCAGCCACCTGGGCGCAGCCCTGGCCCCAGGTGTCCCAAGAGAGCCGTAGAGAGGAGTGAAGGAACCTGCCCCAACGTTAACTCTGCCAACGAACCCTCGCGTGCCCCCTGAATTCATTCTCTGCCCCCCATCAGAGCATCCCCCTCACTCCCTGCAGCCCCGCCAGCCTGGGCTGAGACACTAGGCTGCCCAAGCCCTGGCTGCATTAGCCCCCGCTTCCCTTGGAGGGCACAGGCGGGTTCCATCGCCATCCTTTGCCCCCGCATTGGCAGTAGGGCAGGCACCAGCACTTAGGGGGTGGGGGGGGTATGTGTAAGCTCTGGGGCAGGTGCTGCAATCCCCAGCATTGGAAATAGGCCTCCCCGCCGTGACCCCCCACTTGCCACCCCACATGAGGACCACGTCCTCCAGCCCAGCAAGGGGAACCCCCGCCACAGGCTAGGGAGCTACCCCTCAAAGGAGGATGAGAGCGGGGGTGGGAGAGGGAGCCACGGGCAGACTCGGAACTGGGGGGCAGCCCTGACCCGGTCCACATGGACTCTGGGAAGTGGAAGGCTGAATTGGCCTGCAGGAAACAGCGGGTGGAGCAGCGAGGGCTGGTCTGCCCCGAGCCTGGCTACAAGCCCAACCGGGGGGGATGCTGACACCAGGCTAGGGGGGAACGAGAATTTCTAAGCTTGCCTGGGATGGGGGGGGGGAGGCTGCTTAATGGGGGAAGCCCCAGTTACCCTGAAGAAACCCACCCATCTGCCCTGCCCCTTACAGACCTCCTGGTGATCCCTAGGAGGGGAGATGGGCTGGGGTCTAGGGGGCTCCAGGGTCAGGGGGCTGGGTGAGGGGCAGCTGAGATCACCCCACGCAGGGCCAGGGTTTGCTGACTGTGGCCCCCCACAAAGGGGCCCTGGGCTGCAGCACTGTCCCCTCAAGGCCCAGCCCCAGCCTGACGCTATATCAGGGCCCATAGCAGCCAGTGTTCACTCCCCCTGACACCCCCAGCCCCTGACCTCAGAGGGCAGAACGAGACAGCCGTCTGGGACAAAACCCTAGCCTGCCCCCCGACCTGTGCCCTGCCCCCTGGGAGCCTGACTGATGGCCTGGGGACTTGGGACCATGGGTCAGGCCATCCCAGCCCCCTGAGGGATGGCATGACACTGTAATAAGGCAACCAGTGTGGGCACGAGGGGCGGAGGGTTGGCCATCGCTGGCTACAGAGGGGCAGAGGAGGAAGCCCAGGAAGCCAGCTCTTTAGCAAGTGGGGCAAGGCTCGGGCACCGCAGGACAGCAGGGAGAGGCTTCGAGTCAGCCCAGACCCCCATCTGAGTGGTGCCTGATTCCTCACCAACACCAGGGCAGGCCAAGCTGGGGCAGGCAGGAGGCCACAGTGCTGTAAAACCATCCGTGGTAACAGGAGAGGCCCCAGTGGGCACAGATCTCACGCATGCTCAGGTGGTAGCCAGAGCCCAAGCCAGGTGCCCAGCTACCAGGATCCCTGCAACAGAGCAGCAGCCAGACAGGAAATGAAAGCAAAGAGGAATCTCGCCAGCTGGGGGGAAGGGGCCAGCCCCACACAGGGGGGTGGGAATTGGGCCTCAGGCGGCACCTGTCTCCGCATGTCACACACCACACTGAGATGGACAGGCTGGGCCCAAGGCTTGGCAAGTTGCTACAAACAGGAGATTGCCCTGTGCTCTGGCTGGCACTGGACAGAGCTGGGGGGGCAGCACCAGGCACATCCAGAGCTTCCGGAGCTCTCTCCAGCCACCAAACATCCCACCTGCAGACTGCCGGGCACCAGGGCCCAGCGGGGCACTCGCGGAACCAGCTGGGATAATACTTCGGCCACCAGCGACAAAGCACTGCCCCCTACAGGCAGAGGCTCAAAGCGCGAGGGATTGAAGTGATGGAGAACGTCCCCAGGGTGCCCCATGGGGAGGGTGCTGACCCCGAGAGCGGGGCAGAGGACGGGATATGCCCCCTGGCTCCTAGCCGCTGAGCGGGTGGAGGTCCACCTTGACTTTCTCCCCACTGCTCAGCATGCCAATAGTGGGGAAGAAGCCGCCGACCGGCACCACCGCGTCCTTCTTGCCAATGATCTTCCCGTTGCGTGTGAAGAACACCTGGGGGGACAGGACGGTGCCGCGGGCTGTTAACCCCTTCACTGCCACAGCATGGCCCCTTCCCTCCCAGCCCAGGGCCCCACTCAGCTCCCCCCAGCCCCGGCCAAACTCAGTACAGCCATGACATCCGGCTCCACGCTGGGAGATGCCCAGTCAAGGGCCACAGCAGCTCCTTGTTGGGAGTAACCCAATCTGCAATGACTGCAAGTGCCCCCCACTTTGCCCACAGAGACACTTCCCAACATGCACCACGGCTAGATGTGTACACTCTTTAGCCCGGGCCTCTGTTAAACCCAGATGCCACAAGCCCCCGGGCCCCGCCAGGCCTGTTGTTTTAGCCACCCCGTCCTATGGGCTCAGGAGCCGTAAAGCCCGAGGAGAACAAGCCAGGGGTGCAGGCCAGCCAGCCAGGAGGACTCCAGTACAGCCAATCCGAGCCCCAGCCAGCAGGCCGCAGAGCCGGGCGCTGGAGTGGTGTTAGTCCGCAGTTCTCCGGCACTGCTAAGAAAGCCAGTTCCTTGTAGCACCACTTGGAGGAGGGGAACATTGTGGCATCAGCCACTAGGGGGCGCCTCAGGCCAGGGAAATCCAGCCAGGTACCCAGGCCTGGGCCAAGGTCACAGTGGGGCACGGGGGAGAACAGGCCGGTCGGCCCCTGGGTTAGGGGCTGCAGTTTCTTGGGGGCTGGGCACTGCCCAGTCAGCTCCAATTGATTCAAGCTCGTTGCACGGGGTGGCAGCACCATGAGCTGTGCCAATGTGTGTCCCTGGGGCGGGGTCCCAGGACCCCAGACAGAGCCACCCCGTCACTCCCGGCAGGGCCTTCGGCTCCTACCAGCATGGATGCAAAGCAGAAAAACCCCCATGGGGCAAAGCAGCCCCATGACACATCCCCAGTGCCCTGGAACCACCCCTCGGCACACCCCCCGCTCCCCCAAATCACCCTGGAAAATTCCCCCTCCCCCGAGTCATCCCCCAGGCGTGTTCCCCACCATGCCCCAGCCCCTGGTGCATTCCCCCTCCTGACCCACACTGGTCCCCCAACCATGCCCCCGGCCTGTCCCCCCAGCCCCACATTCCTCCCTTGAGCCACTCCACCCAGCGCATCCCCCTCCCCAGTCCCACCCCCTCCCCAAGCTGTCCCAGACCCACGGTACAGCCCCCAGCCAGGTGCCAGCAAAGCCCAGCTCTTACCACCACTTTCTTCCCTTCGTGCTCCTGCTCCATCTCCTCCCCGTCCTCTTCCTCCTCCTCCTCATCCTCCTCCTCCACCTCCTGGTGCAGGTACATGACATTCCGCACGCCCCGCAGCTTGGGCTTCAGGTCCATGGTGTCGCAGCTGTCGTCGCTGTCGCCTGGGGTGGTGGGGAAAGCCGGGTCACCCCGGGGCTGGGTTGTACCCCATGCAGGGAGCACCCGCTGGGGTCTCTGCAACAGGCTGGGCCCTTCGACTCACGTAGCAGCGGCTCCAGGATTAAACCCCACTAAGGACCCCCACCCCCAATCCAGATTCATTCCCCCGACAGGCCCCCCAGGAGCTGCTACCACATGTCCTCCGCTCAGCCCCGTCCAGCCACCGCAGCGAAGGCACTGCCTAGCACCCATCGGCACTGCCTAGCACCCAGGGTGCCCCGCGACTGCCAGCCCCTGCCCTCACCAGGCCTGAGCCAGGGGGTCGAAGCAACTCGGCCAGGTCAGCAGCACAGCCAGAAACGCCATCCTGGCTTCCTGCCTCTAGCCACTAGACCATGCTGCCTTGCTCCACATCCCCCCTGCTTTTCTGAGTCTTGTTTCACCACCGGGGGCAAAGCTGGGGGACTGGCTGCAGCCCTCAGCACTACACTCATTGCTACAGGACTGGATCTCAGGTCCCCGGGGGCCAGCCACGCCTCCCCCAGCCACGTGCGGTCACACACCTTCGCTGTCGAGGATGTAATCCCGCGGGAACATGATCCCGCAGCCCATAATGTCGCCCTTGTAGCACCGGGGCCCGAAGGGGTCGCCCACGCCACTCCCGTGGAAGATCTTCCCATCGTCTGGAAGGAAGAGGCAGAGGAGAGGCTGTTAAGCATGGCGGGCCTGGCAGGGCGGCCCGGGAAGGGGAGCGATGCCCAGGCACGTGGCCACTCTTTGGGGAGATTTCCAGCCTGGCAGCACCACCGGTCTACACCAACCAACATGGTCTCTGCCTGCAGGGCAGGTGGGTCAGAATGCTACGTCCGCCAGTGGGAGATGGCACGAGATACCTGGGCCACACAGCTCACAGCCGCACTGGTGCCATGGGACTCGGGCCAGGATAGGAGAGAGCACGGGCCGAGCCTGGGGGAGAGGTGGACCCCGCACAGAGTGCGGCTCTCTGCCCCCCTTTAGTGGCTGGGCCACGCGGAGGTTTGTGAGCAGGCTTGCCGAGAGGAATCCTAGCTCATCCGGCTTTTGGGGGCTGAGGTTCCAGGTCAGCCCCCACTTAAGGGCTACTGGGGGAAGACGCTCTAGGTTAACAGCTGCTCTTAGAGGATGGGATACAGGAATAAGGGACAGGGGGCAGGTGATTGTCCAGGGAATCTGGGCCTTTTGCTGCATGGAGGAGAGGACAGACCTAGAGGTGCAGGGTTCCCGCTGCAATGCTCCACAGCTGGACCCGCACTAGTTGCCAGCTATGAGTGATCCCACCATGGGTGCATGAGGGGCTGTGCTTACCTGGCACTTTGCCCTTGCCCACCGAGGTGGTTTGCTTGTACTCCTCCTCCCCAGCAGCTGGGGGGATGGGCGTATTCGGGGGGGATGGGCTGCACGCACCCCCCTGCCCCCCAGGTCTCTACCAGTGTCTGCTCCTGTGCAGAGACTGCGAATTGCAGAGCGAGCGCCCATGTTACCACAGGCCGGGGAGAGCGATCGCTCAGAGGGCACGGTGCCAGCACCCCAGGCCTCACCCTGCCCTATCTCGGCTCCCTTGCCAGCCCCAACCCGCCCACCTCCTCAGCCCCCACAGCTGGCTGTACTATCAGCTGCCTCCCGAGCCATGGACCGGACCCAGGGGGCTGACCACACGCCCAGCGGCGCCAGACCCTCCTCTTAGCCCTGAGAGACCCCAGCGCCCAGCCGGCCATGGCCTGCACCCGGGAGTGCTGCAAGAAAGCTGATGCACCGGGGTGAGCTCCGGGCTGGGGTCACACGCTGAATGGGCTCTCATGTACCAGAGAGCAGATGGTGCCAGGGGAGAGAAGCCGAGCGTGGGAGCCCACGTGAAAGGAGCCAGGGGGGCCCCGGCTGTGCCTCCCGCACCATGCAGCTGGTTTGTGGACCAAGGAGCCCCAAGGCACATGGGCCAGGCAGAAGGCGGAGGCCTGGCGGGAGGCGGGGGGGGGGTTGTTTCAGCAAACAAGGGAGATGCACCCAGCGAAGGGGCGGTAAATATTTCTCCCCGTTGCCAGGGAAACCAAAGCTGGGAATAATACTGTGTAAACATTCCTGTGTGTCGAGAGCGAGCGCGCCTTGTAGGGGATCCCCTGGCTCCTGCCACAGGCGGGGGCGGGCACCAGGGCCCATGCAGGATAACCAGAGGGAAACAGACCCCTGGAGGCTGGGGGGAGCAGGGCTTGCTGGTGGACGGTACTCGGGGCGGGGGCAAGGGAAGGCTTAACCCAGCCCCCTCTCATGCCACATGGAAAGGAGCCCAGGAGAACCCCATCCCCTGCACCAAGTCGCTGGAGATTTTCCAACCTCCCAACCGTCTCAGGGCACCAGCAGGGTGCAACGAGGGGGCCATGGCCCGCTGCTGCCCCCCTTGCCGAGGGAAGACCCCCCAGTAGATCTTGACCCCATGCCCTCTGCAGCCAGTTCGGTACCTGCCCAGCTCTCCCCTCCTGGCTCCTTCCACCTACCTACAGGGTCCCATACACCCACTCCTCAGTACCCCCCCCTTCGGCCTCGGAGCTAGGCTGGAATCCTTTCTTCCTTGCCCCCTCCCCTCCAGCATCACAGACCTCCCAAGCCAGGGAGCTCCGCGCCCCCCATTGCTGAGCTGGGGCCAGAGCAACCTCAACTGGTGTGTTCTACCCATGCCCGCACCCAGGTCTGGGTGAGGGAGGCCGTGAGCTCGACCCTCGCCCAGCACGATGGGGCCCCGATGGTGACTGGCCCTTGGGCACTGGCATCAGAACCATGCTGCGAGCATGGGGAGCATCCCTCGGTCTAACCCCGAAGAGACGAAGGCCAGCGGCTGCACTGGACGGCTGGGGGGGGGGGGGGGGGGGGTTCAGGAGATGTAGGAGTTCTCGGCCCCGGCTGGACTCCGCGTTCCACTCACTCCCAAAAGTCCTAGTTTGGAAGGAGATTGGCTCCTTGATGGTTAGTTTTTCTATTAGCCCCAAGTGAGAGCAAGGCCCCATTGGGCCAGGCAGCTCCCCTGCCCCAAAGAGCTTCCAGACGAAACAGAAAGAATGGAGGAGAAACTGAGGCACAGCCAGGAGAAGGGGCTTCTCCCGGTTCACCGAGCAGGTCGAGGCAGAGCCCGGACTAGAACCCAGGTCTGCTGCTTCCCAGCACCCTAGACTGTGCTGCAACCTCAGTCAGCTATTCGAGCCCAGGCACCCAGCCATCAGGCTCGCCAAACCCAACTCAGACTGCGCTGGGGCTGCCAGCCAGGCAGCTGAGCTCCAGCTACGAGGCAAGATCCAAAATGGGGGTGGGGGAGGCCAGGCTGGAGCCACGAGCGACTGGCTGGGGCTGCCAGGGAAAGGACAACGTGGCCAAAGGGAGCTGGGAAACCTGGACACAAGTGGGTCACAGCAGCTGCCTCTGCCCCCCATGCACCCGCCTGCACACCATGCTCAACTGTTTGAGAACTGGCCTGGCACTGGGGCATCTGGGCACACCCCAGGCACCCAGCTGCAATGCTCACCATGGGCAGCAATGTTCAGCTGCCCTTGGCTAGCCAGCCCACCCTGGGGGAGAGAAAGATGATGGGCAAGGAAGGAGAAAGGCCTCCGCAAAGACCCACCGGCCCAAGAGAGCAAGCCGGGCACTGCAGGCCGAAGATCTCTGCTTGTGACCAAGCCACGGGGCGGCTGGCCTCCACCAAGGCCTCCCACACTCCTCACGGATGCCTTCAGCTCACACCAGCCACAGCCCTGGCAGAGATGGGGAGGGGAGCATCCGAGATAGCTCCGTGCCATAAGGAGGGTGATGAGAGCCGGAGCCGGACACTCAGAGGCAGCAAAACAAAAGAGATTGCCCTCGATTCGCCAGCCAGCCACAAACCAGGGAGCTGGCAGGAGCCAGGTTCGGAGGGAGAGGGCCACACAATGAACAGAAGCCCATGAGGGAGTTTAGGGCCGGGTTACTGCCCCTCGCTTCTGCAGACTCTCCCCCCTACCCACGTGGTACCTCCTCCACTCGCCTGCAGCACGAGCGGATAGGAGAAGCTCTTGCCCATCTGCATCGCTACCTCCCAGCCTGGGCTCTGCTGCCCGGACATTCCCCCGCTGCAGGACTGATTGAGCGCCCGTGTCTGCCAGAGGTTATGGCAGCTCAGAGCAGCAGCTGGCACTGCAAAGGCTGGGTAACACGAAGGGAAAAAAGGTGGGAGGAGAATTTTTCCAGGAAGAGGAGGAGGAGGAAGGTGAAGTGGCCAGCGAAGGGAAGTGGGAGGCAGCAGATCGAATACTTGGATGGGAATTTGAATGTTCCCCTGGCGCCGAGCACTGGAAAGAAACCACCAGGAATCAAAAGCGTTTACAGCTTTTCCTTCAGAGAGACAAGTCAGACAGAGAAAATAAAATCCTTAATCAGGCAGAAAGGGAGTGCGGCCCAGAAGGTCGGACTGCCCACGGAGGGAAGGGATGGAATGCGGAGCGAGAGTGGGGACAGCTCCCAACAACTTCAATCGCGAGGGAAGGGCCACAAGGCTCCCAGCCCTGCTGTCTTGGAGCCAGAGGACCCGATAGGATTACGGTGACCAGGCCTCAATCGTCCATCGAGGGTTGAGACTGCATCAACAGAGCCTCTGCCACTAAGAGCCAAGACTCAAGGGCTGACCTAGGCCAGGGATAGCAAGAGGTCAGGCTGCCACCAAGGCACCTGCAGACAAACCCCGATCACCACTAGATGGTGGCAATGGGGCTCCTGAACCGGGGGTTGGGAGCCCATAACTGGGTGACTCAAGCAGAGATGTTGAAAACACCCAGGCACTGTTGGTTGTAAAAATCCTGCCCTCAGCAGCTTCTGGCCTTGTGTGTAGAACCCTAGACGGGACTCTCAAGAGACCTGGGCTCTATTCCCAGTTCTGCCGCTGGATGACCTTGGGAAATCCACTTCCCCGCCCCATGCCTCAGTTTCCCCCTCTGTCATACAGGGATAAGGCTACTGCCCTGCTCTGTAAAATGCTTGGAGCTCTGCTGCTGGACTAGCAACATCACCTAAATCTTTTCAACACCCTTCCCGAAAGCACGGCTGAGCCTGGGCAGCAGCAGATACAGGTGGTCCTCCAAAGCCACACCCCGAGCCAAGCAGCCACCTGGCTCTAAGCACTGTGGCTCCGATCTGCCAAGTGGCTCCTTGGAGATCTGCTTGTGTGGTTACACACACTTGGCCTGATGCCTGGCTGGTGTCGCACGACTGACTTCGGAGCAGCTATGCCGATTCACATCCAGAGATCAAGCCGAGGGGCCCCTAGAGAGAGGTTCAGCAGGACACTTACAGCCCTGTGTGTTGGGTAACACAGGCCAGAATGATCAGAGCAGGAGCTGGTCTTTGCAGCGAGCACCTCCGAAAGCTCTAGGCAGCCACAGAGGCAGCAGGTCACAGGAACAAGTCCCCAGGACCAGCCCTGCACTCAGCAGCTGTTCAGCTCCCAGCTGGTGGAGCGTGCTGGCCGGGAGCAGCCACAGTGGGACAGCTGGCTCAACATGCTAGTAGCTAATTCTCAGCTGATGGGGATCAGCCGAAAGCCAGCATTACAGTCCAAGGCAGGGGAGAGAACCCCACTCTTCAGCTAGCCAGACTGCCAGCTCCTTCTGGCCCAGTGGAGCAGACACGGCGCCAACAGGGAAACCCCAGGTCTCGCTGTACTCGTCAATTTTAAGGTCAGAAGGGACCACGGTGATCATTTATTCTGACCTCCTGCACATCGCAGGCCACAGAAGCTCATCTGACCCTCTAAGGAAAGGCAGCTGGAGGCTCCAGGGAGTCCGACCTCCAGATCCCTGGTCGATTGCTCTGCCTAAGAGCCTGGTGCCAAGCACCCGCTAGTCCCCTGGGCTTTCACAGCGAGCAACACAAGAGCCAGCCTCGGTTCATTCTTATCATGAGCCCTGGGAGGGGGAATGTGTCCACACCCGGGCCTGCAGCCCTCAGTGCTTGAGCTCAGCTTCCATACAGGGGCTGGGTGAGAACCACTCTTCGAGAGCAGAGTCAGCCGTGGGGATGTTACTGTAACCCACCCTTCTACTGGGTGACTGTTCCCGCTGGCTGAATCACACACAAGAAGAGGAGACTCTACGGTCTGTTAGCTCAGGTAGGAGAGGCTCACGATTTGAGACTAAGAGTCCCAGGTTCAACCCCTGCTATAGACAACGCACAGAGGGCTGCTGCATGTTCGGGTACTTAGCAAATTAATAATGGCTCGCTGTTCTTCCTGGGGTGCAGATTAATGTGGGCTAAATTCAAAGCAGGCAGACACAAGCATCAAAGACCCAGAGGAGCGTGTGGCAGCAGAAAGGGGACAGGCCAGTTTTGATGTAAGAAGATTGAAAGGCAACAGCCAGATGAACCGAGCCCCTAGTGGAAATAACTCATCCCCCATCCCTGCTGGAGTGCAGTGGGTCTGACTGGATCCAGCCCACAGCGCGAGAGGACTCAGAGCTCAGAGAACCACCATCATCCAACGCAAGCCGGAGATGGGCAGATATGGCAGCAGTAACCAGTGGGGTTGTAAGCAAGTGGAGCTACCTGTGACCTGAACATTAACCAGCTTTCCCGGCTGATAAACTTGGGACCAAACACCGAGCCTCACCGGGCCTCGCTCTGGTGGGCTGCCAACTCCCTGGACTTCTCCACTCACGATCCAGACCCCACAGCTGAGAGGCTGCCCCGAGAGCAGAATGAAAGCCGGACCCTTTGACATTAAAGACATTTTCAAAAGCTTCTGCAAGCCCCAGGGGTATTTATGCACCTAACTCCCTTAGCTGCTTTTTGAAAACTCCCCCACTAAAAACTTGGTGTCCAGTGTTGGGAGAATGACACTTCCACCGTCCCCCAAGTTGTGTGCATTGCACTGACTGCCAGTGGCTGCCCCTGGGTGATGCTGCTGCATTTGGGGAGTGCATGGTTAAACTGGGAAGGGACAGCTTCCTTTGGGTTCTGGCCAGAGACTTAGATTCCTCCCCATTCCAGTCCTGCCTCGCTCACCTGCATGGTAGGCCACAGATCCTCTGCTCCAGCCGGGATGGCGGTTTTTCGGGTAGTCCTAGGGCAGAGAGAGGAGGGAGGGTGGGTCTCATGACTTCACCCATTATCACCTAGAGTCCCAGCAGCGGGAATTGCTAAAATATTTCCCTATAAAATGTGAGTTTGCCTTTGGCCTTGGGCTGAGATGGAAAATCCAGCTGTAAAAGCGCAGCAGACACATCCCCCACTCCCCCCAGCCACATCCCTGGCGCCACGGCATGCCCCCTCCCGCCATCCCCGATGGAGGCTGTGACTCGCTTGGCTTCAGGAAGGGGAGGGGAACCAGGCCCTGTGCAATCAGAGCGCTTGGCCCATGAGAGAGTTAATTGGGAGGCCGTGGCATGGCCTGCCTCAGGTGCATGACTCACCGGCAGGTAAATCCCTTGGGATTAGACGGCTGCAGCTCAATGAATGAGGATGCACTGCACCGAGACCAATCCCAAACCACCGGGGATGAGGGAACCCTGCCCGAAGGCTGCCAAGGCTAACAGCAGGCCAGCCAGCACCAGCATGAGTCAAGGGTGACTCAGAGCTACCTGCTCCCCAGAGCTTTCTGGCCCCTGTTTGAAAGATGCTCCTGGGACCTACGCAGCAACTTGCTCCACCGCGGCCCAGCCCAGTGCAGAGCGTGCGTTGGCTAGCGGCGCAGCGGGAACGCTACGGGGCTGGGGACCCAGGACAGGGATAGGCCTGTTGCATCAATCAGAGGGGTTGGGGTGCTGCCAGTCCCGACAATATCACCTGGACATCAGACAGGAAGGATGGTCCAGTGGTTAGGACGCAAACCTGGGACTTAGTCAAATGGCTGCCCCTTGGACAAGGCATGTCTACACTGAACCCTGAACCTGGGCTCTGAAGCCCCCCTTCCGTCCACAAACAAATCACTCTGACTCAGGGCGCTAAGCCCTCAGTCCTAGAACCCTGCTGGGAGGATGGGTCAGAGCCAGAGTCCCACTGAGACTCGGTTCCAAGCCCTGTCTTTTAGCAGTGTGGGATGCCTGCCAAGCTGCAGCCCCGAGTCAGAAGGTCCGTGCAGCACAGCGCAGATACATTAGCATGGCTGAGACGCGGGTCCAGCAGCTGCAAACCCAGGTTCACAACGCAGTGCGGACACTCAAGAAATCCCAACTCCATAAGCCCTGGTCCCACAGATCCAGGTTTAGGGAACAGTTTAAACGGACTCAGTCTCTCTGTGCTTGTTCCCCATCTGTACAATGGGGTTAGGGTTAGGGGCATGTGGGGTTAAATACACGGAAGGTCGTGACGTGACGACAATATGGTGACAGGGACCAAACCAGTACAAGGGGTAGATGGAATTTAGGGTTTCCAGCTGACAATGCTGTGACCCAGCGTGGCTTGTCACACTTAACCTGGCCTGCCCCCAAGAGACCGCTGGACACAAGCGCCCATTTCCACCTATTTGCCGCATTCCAGCTGCAGCAAAAGTGGGCAAGGAACAGCGGGATTAAACGGGGTCGCTTCTGGCTCCTTCCCAGCCCAGGTTCCAGGGGCACCTCCTGCCTGTTGTGGGCCATTCACGTGGGCATTTTGTTGCCCTGTTAACGATTTTGAGTCCTCTCTTCTGAGAGGAGGGGCAGCTTCCTTTGGGGTCTGGCCATGGACAGGTTGCCCCCTTCATTCCAGAACGCAACCCGCCAACCAACTCATGTGAAAACTACAAACAGTGTAGTCTTTCCTCAGTGCTTACCTCCTATCAACTCATCTTAATCACCAATCATCATCCCTAGCTCTTATCCCAAAGCGCTTTTCAAAGAGGTATCATTGTCCCCACATTACAGATGGAGAAACTGAGGCATGGAGGGGGGAGGAGAAGTACTTTGCAAGCCAGTGACAGACCTGGGAACAGAAAACACCTTCTCTCTTAGGGAAGAAAGCGCCTAAGAGGGTCTGTGTTGGTCTCATTCGTTAGGCCAGGCCTGCTCTTAGCTGTTTGAGCGGCAGAGTTATTGCCATCAAGGTAGGTTTTTGCCAACGCGGTGATGCAGGTGAAAGCCTAGTGTAGAGAGTTATCCCAGTATAAAACTGCTTATGCGGGTATCGCTTATTTCGCTTCTCTGAACCGGAATAAGTCAGGGGGCAAAGCCGACACAGTTAACACGGCAAAACCTAAGTGCAGACCCGGCTTTACATGGTCCCCGCAGAGAATGTCATCAGAGGTGCCCATTGCAATGCAGACACTCCCTCACTAGGAACTGAACTGAGAGCCCACCCCTCATTTCACGTAGAGCCCGCAGAGCAATTTCCAATCACTGTCCCAGATTAGGGCTGTCCTGGCAGCCTCACTCGTAGGTTGTCATCAGACAAGGCACAGCTGGGTAACAGGCAGACCCCTGTAGACAGTAGCTGACTTGGCAAGAGAATGGAACCTGGCAACGTGGGTACAGCCAACCCCAGGGCCAGCTCTCACACAGAGACTGGACCTGGCAAGCCCGATGTGCCATGAGGAATGCTAGCAGCAGCAGGGGAGGGTAATGTGCTGCATCACCCGGGAGACGAACATGAGCGCATGAATCCAGACCACATGTCAGGACAAACACAGAAACAGATGGCAGGAAAGGGGCAGTGGGTGGTTTGCATTCTCGAGGGGGAGGCAGCGCAGCCTAGAGGATGGCTCCTACGCCACAATCAGGTGAGACCTCACAAAGAGAAATGAGCCTGGCTAGATCATTCACCTGCTGGGGGGGAGAGGGGTGCCTGGGAAGGGGCTTTTAATAAATAGGCACAATAATAAAACATGCAGCTTGTGTAACGATCGGGGCACCTCGTGGAAGCTGAACATGGTTAGGCTGGGTCATCCCACGGATGGGAGATCTCCTCAGAACAACCTGGTCTCCGAAGCCCCACCTCAAACCACTCTTGCTATCAGCAGGCTCGTGGACAGACACACATATCGGACGGATGTGTGGGACCCATCCAGAAGGCACTTTCCCCGCAGTGGCTTTACCTTCCGGGCCAGGCCTAGCGCGATATAGCACTTCTCCCCGGGGTCTACGATCTCCACCTCAAAGTAGTGGCTCCTGGTGCTCAAGGGGTGCCTTGCCTGGGCCAGCCCAACGTCGATGATGCTCTTCCCCTTGCCCACGTACTCCAGGAGCTGCAGAGAACAGGAGATCGGAGTCAACCTCTGAGAGCAGATGCGGCACCGGAGACCCACAAGGCAGGGACTCCTATGGCAGCAGTTCTCATCTTTCCCATGCCAACACAGTCCCAGCTCCTCACCCAGTAACCCACTCCCAGATAACCAGGACACTCTCCCCTCTCTTAGCAATACAGGAAGGACGGGGTGAATCCCCACCCCCCAGGCACCTGTTCACAAGTCATAGGTAGCAAACCCCTGACCTGCAGAATGATTGATTGTTTGCCCTGGAAAGGTCCCCTGCACGGCCACAGAGCAGGCCCTGATCCTGTCTGCACTGCACAAGTGACCCGGGGGAGCCTGGGCGGCAGGTTCCATCTGTCCCTAGCCTGGGAGTGTTTCGTAGCCCGGCAGGGAGCAAAGGAGAATGCCACTCAGCTCTCCGGCCCAGTTTAAATCGTGGCACTTCAAGGTGAAGTGAATGGCTTATGGAAAAGCCTGTATGGAAGGAGACCAGCTGGGTCTCTGCAGCCCTATGGGTGGGGTCACTCAGTCTGGCTTAGTTATACAGTGATCTAGCTCCGCCCAGTGGGAGGGACTTATGCCCCCAACACTGGGAACCGGGAGGGGGGCTCAGACAGATTTCAGAACTGAAGGTTGGTAAGTTTCAACAGAAGAGGGAAAGGAAGTAACAGAAGCCAGCCAACCTGCTCGCCTGGCCAAGGGTCACATAAAAGAGCATGTCAGGCCTTGTCCCCCTTGGGATACAGAGAAGCATCTTCTAGGAAGCAGAATGAGACCGCTCAGTCCTTTCAAACAAGCCAGGGACAACCCTGCGATGACAGCTGTTCTAGGCTACCCCCTACATCCCACCAGATCACCCAGAACACCCCATAGCCAACTCCTCAAGAGAGCCAGCCATCCCCGAAAAGCCCTGGGGTTGGGGAGGAAAGGGGAGTCATTAGAAGAAACAGCTTCTGTTGGAGAGAAAAAATAGATTGTGTCCTAGTAGTACAGACTGAGTTAAACTGATCTCGCTTGGGATCTGGCTAACTTTGGGAGGGTGGGGAGGAGAGAGAAGAAAGCTGCATTTTCTGTCCCAGTTGCTCTAAGGATCCAGAGGGAATTGCAAAATCTGGGTTTTTCAGGAGGAGAAGGGGATGTTTACAAGGCCGGGAGCTTTGCAGATTCATGAGGCAAGCCCTGTGTCACGAGGTTTTCTTTGGACAGCGCCCGACATTCCAATTGTTGCTTCACAGACATCAGCTTTTGTTTCCTGCCTCCAGCAAGCCGGGCCCTTGTCCCACCTAACGCAGCTGCGTGGAAAAATATCCCTTCAGGGAGCATAAACGAGACAACCTCACACCCTCCTTTGCTCCCCAGGGCTGCCTGGGCTCATCTCTTAGGAAGAGAGTCTTATTTACACTCACAAGATCAGAGTTGCAAGAGCCGACACACCACGTCAAAGGCCTGGCAATCAAGAAAACAACACACGAACTGGCTGACAGCTGGAGCTGACAGATTAGTTTGTACCAGGCCCAAAGCATCTTGTCCATTTTAGCTCCCCCACCCCGCATCTCGGAGCCCGGCTGCATGTTGAACCAATATTTGCTGGCTCCTGCCAAGCCATGGAAAGGGTCAGTGGTTTACATTTTTCCACTCAGTCGCTGCATTGCCACGGGATTCTGAGAACTGCTCATCCATTTAAGCACCAAAATAAAATCAGCACGAGGCTCTGGAAGACGAAGTCACCTCGGGTCACTCCTTGACAAGGAACAACACTGGAAAGAGACTGTAAATGTTCCCCTGCTGGAAGAAAGCAAGCTTAGAAGAGAAGGATACTTACGTAGGATCACGTAAAAGAGCATGTCAGCTCCGTCGATTAGAACAGCAGATAATGTAGGTGGCTGCACATTATGCATGCATGTGGCGTCCAGACAGGGCTGGGGCCAATGACAGCACCAGACCAGGAGCTAGTCCTACAGGCTGATGGGAAAGAGCCTGCACAACATTACATGAAGAGGGTAAGTTTCCTGGGCACAGCAACTGCTCTAAAACACTGGGGAGATGCAGAATGGCCAGGGGTTTGTGGGGCCACCCAGCTGTGCAGAGCCAGGGGCTTGCTCAGAGCCAGGGACATTTTTTTCCATGCTCTAATAGATCCACTGTAGGTACAAACATGGCGCCCATAACCGCAGCTTCTGGGCATATCACACTTATCAATGTATTTAACCTCCTAACCCTGCTGCGAGGTGGGGCAGTTTTCCCCAATAGCCATGAACTGAGGCACAGAGACACTAAGCGATTTGCCCTCAGGTCACACAGGAAGTGTGTGGCAAAGCCAGGAATTGAACCTGGGTGTCCCAATCCCCAGGCTACAGCCCTCACCCCTGCACAATCCTCCCTCAGCTAGCTCTGCTGCAATATACAACCAGAGCATGTGCTCCAGGCCAGAACACGGCATTCAAAGTGGAGCACATGCTGAGAAGAGCCACTAGGTTGACCAGGGGAACGGAGCTGATCTCACAAGAGGAGACAGGAGGGGCTTGGCTTGCTCAGCCAGACAAAGGCTGAGGGGGATCCAATTGCTCTAGGCAAATTACACCGGGAAGGGGGAAGAGCTTGAGGAGCCAAAGGACAACGCTGGCACAAGAACAAATCTGAATTAACTGGCCAGGGAGCAGCTGAGGCTGGAGGAGAGGAGTGGGTTTGCAGCCTCAGTAAGAAGGGTTGGGGGCAAGTGCCCTATGCTATCTGAAGATGGAACCTGATCCATTTCTGGCCAGGATGATGTGATGGGGCTCCCACAAAACCAGGCATAACCTCAGCGACCATTCCAGTCCTATGGCTCCACTCTTTGTGCAGGGCAGCTGGCATCTTACAGAGCAACTCCAAAGCCCTTGAGGCGGGGTGCCTCAAGGCATCTGGGGGGAACCTTGGCTCCCCTGAAGTCAATGGCGGAACCGCCTTTCGGTGAGGGAAGGGCAGTGGGGGAAGATTTCCCCATGTGGTTTTCAATTCCCATCTCCTGGAAGCTTCTCCAGACCTAATCCAAGCTGGATTTGGGGGGGCAACATATCCAGGGGTTTCCCAGGTAGGGGGCACAGTCTGAGACTCTTTGGTGGCTCCTTCTCCCCACCCCATTCCCTAAAACCTGGGGAGGGAAATGGGCTCCAGGGATGCTCACAACACAAAAACCACCAGCACAACCTGCCCCACAGGCTAGCAGCCACGGAGCCCATGGGTTGTAGGATCCTGACCTCTGACCTCTCACCCCTAGCGTGGGAGGTGCCAGGCTTGCTGCTGCCCTGAATCTGTGGGAAGATACCTTCAGACCCCAGTGCTGGCACCCCAGAGTTGGGTGACCGCTTTCTAGGGGCAGGCTTGGCACCCACCAGCCGGGCCCCTGGCCCTGGAGACCTTCCCAGATGGGAAGCTTCCCACCAGCAGCTCACGCCCCTCGGCTGCAACTTGCCCCAGCAAAGGTGCTGGCATGCACGCTCCTCCTGGAGACCGGAGGGGGGCATTGTTTACCCAGTGCCATGGCAGCGCTCACAGCAGTGGCAGTGATTCACCCAGCGGTGCTGCCCACAAAATACCTTAATCCCCTTTTAATTAGCTGCTTTAAAACTAGTAAGACATCATCTGAATAACAGACTGAGTAGCGGCTACCAGCCTACGCCCCCCAGCCCCGCCCTGTGCCATCCAACATCAACAGGGACTCCTCCCAGGCCTACACAATCCCTCCCAGCCCCCGCACTCCAGCTCAAAGTGCAGCCCCCAGCACCCTCCGGCCTCCCTCGTGCCCCATTCCATGGCCATACACCCATACAACAATGCGTTTGCCTCGCCCCCACTGGAGCTGGGAACGCTCTCTGCGCTAAGAGACAACGATAGCCGCATCCATAAGGGTTGCGCCGTGTCTTCCGCGGCGTTCAGAAGCAATCACAGCTCAGAGAGTGAGCGACAGGACCCTCAATAGCTCGGTCACTGCTGGAGCTCAAAGAGATGATCACACACAGACGCTTCAGGCCTGAAAGAGCTATAATTTGGAAGCCTCCCAGTGCAGAGCACAATGGAGTGGCTCCTAAGCTGCGATGGGCAAGCGCAGCTCCTCTCTGGTTTGACGGGGGCGGCGCTGAGCCAGGAAAAAGGAACCGCAAGGATCGAGGACAAGTCTGAGAAGGCCCCCCCACCCCTCCGAAGAACAAGGCACAAAGCTGGAGAGTGGCTCAGGCAGCCCGCTGAGTGCGTAGGCAGGTTGAATACAGTGCCCCTCTGGAAAGGCAGTCCCATGCTGGCTGGTCACCTAGGTATGAGTTCTCAACCGGGGGGGGGGGGCAGGACCTGGTGTGAGGAGGGGGCACATGCCACCTGGCCTCTCTCACATTGCTGAATGGCATCTTGACTTGATGGATGAAGGTTCCAGGGGGTCCCTGGAACCTAAGAATCCTTTGCCATGGGTAGGGAGGGAATCAGCCCATAATCTCAGCAGGGCTTCTCAAGGGGGCATTTGTGCCACCCTTGCCAGCTTCCCTTCAAATGATGCTTCCTAGCAGGCAGCTGGGTTTGGAAAAAGAAAGAGGCCCGTGTAATTCCCCAGGACGGGGAGCGTGTGCGGGGAGGAGACGGCCCGAGGCGATTGTGGCGCAGATGACGAAAATTCCAAGACAACCAACTTTTCGGAACAGACAGACACATGATAAAACTGCCCTTTACCTCCCCCTCCCAGCCAACCGGAGCACCCAAACCCAAACCAGGCCTTTCATCAAGGGCCGTCAGTAATAAGACTGTCCGAGAGAAGAATGTGAATTATGTGCATTATCATTTCCTGACAGTCTGGAGCTAAAACGGAAAAGCCCTGGCTAGAGATTCAACGGATTGGGGGAGGGGGAATTTAGCAGGGGCAAAGTTATTCAGCACTAAGGGTGGCAAGATGGAGAGGAACAGTCTGCAATCTCCCCTTCTAGGCTGGTCCAAGGGCGGAGGTGGTTTTCACCGATTGTTCTTTCCTGGTG